ATGAGAACGACATTGATATGCAAACCGTCGGGCTTCACGAGTTGGGCCATGCCCTTGGGCTTCATCACAGCAAGGTTGTTAAGGCGATAATGTATCCGATTATTTATCGAGGCGTAACAAAGGGTTTGGATCAAGATGATATCGATGGAATCAGGCTTTGTACCGTTGGTAGTGTAACGTGTTTCGATGCTCGGATTGAAATAATAACGGAATCGTAATTCTGTTAACAAATTATTGTACATTTTCTATATATACACATATTAATAATATTAGAATTCCGAAAATCAGATTAATTTTCTTATTAAACTTTTGCATGTGTGGGCAAAATTTATTTCGACGATGGTTATGTGTAAAAGTTCTAAGCTAAAAAAAATCATTCGGAGAATAATTGTTAATAATTACAACACACGAGTACTTTTTTTTTTCAATAATCAAAGTAAACACAAGAGTGTTGAATGCAATAAACCATATAGACATATATATATATATATATATATATATATATATATATATATATATATATATATATATATATATATATATTTGATTTTGAAAAACATATAGATCAAGATAAAAATTATATTTCAAATTTCTTTTAGGCCATACAAGAAATGAGGAATTAAATCATGAACTGAACTTAACCATCTTATGTTTTCGATTATTTCGTGTGGAAAAAAATAGTAAATAAAGTTTTCCAATTAATTATATATCAATATATATATATACACACACACACACACACCTTCACTTTGTTTCAATTAATTTAGCGTTAGAATTCAAACAGTCGAATCGAGTTCAACGAGTGATTTGCATACTCGGTTTTATTACCAAGTAAACGAAATGGCATTTAAAGTTTTTTCGTACATTTTCTTCCTCTTTTGTTTACACTCTCACATAGCCCAATCACATCTATATGAATCAAATAACATCATTCCAACGACTCCTTCAATGTTTCTTCACCGATTGAGCGTTGGAATGAGAAAAGGCGATAATGTAAATGGGGTATACGAACTCAAAAAATATTTATCGTATCTTGGGTATCTAAACGACAATAGACACTCCAACGATCAAAATCAGGAGCACAAAAATATTTTCGACGATTCCTTGGAAATTGCCCTCAGAAGATACCAAGAATTTTACGGTCTTAAGACCACCGGGTTTTTAGATGCTAGCACCATAACAAATATGCTACAACCACGATGTGGCGTGCCGGATCTCTTCACTAACCCTAATAAAAACCCTCCATTTCACACAATATCTCATTATTCACTTCTTCCGGGTAATCCCAAGTGGTACTGGAAAAATCTCAGTTACAGTTTCGATCGGAACGTTAACCGAGCGGCTAGGGTACCCCTACAACGTGCCTTCAAAGAATGGGAATCGGTGACGCCTTTTAAATTTTACTATATTAAAAATATCAGCCTAGCTGATATTCAAATTAGCTTTGAGAGAGGAGATCATGGCGATGGATATCCATTTCGGGGCACGATTGATGTGGTGGCCCACACTTTTCCTCCGCCGGATGGTAGGGTCCACTTTGACGTGCACCAAAATTGGTCTTTGGCCCGGTAACATAATAAATGGAAACACCATTGATTTGCAAACCGTTGCGCTGCACGAGTTGGGACACGCGCTCGGGCTTGATCATAGCATGATTTTTAAGGCTGTCATGTTCCCGACTATTTATCGAGGTGAGAGAAAAGGAATACATAAAGACGATATCGATGGAATTAAGAAATTGTACAATTTATGAAAGTTATAAGTTTATGCATTAACCAAATTGGTTGAGATTTACAAAATTAAACTGATATTAAAGTTGGGTAAAGTTTATTTATTTTGAATGTATAATCGTTTTTTTTATCATATATTACGAGATATATGTGGTATTTCTTAGGTACTCGGCTGTATTTTAATTTTATCTTAGAAAACAAATATTTTGCGAGAATTTATTTTTACAAAGAAAGTAATATTTATTTTTATTTTCAATGAAAATAATTTGCATTTGTCAATATAATGATGTCCAAATATGTTGAAAGGGAGTTAAATGACAACTTTATCTGAAAATTTTAGTATTCACTGAGGTGAATCATTTCATTTAATATTTATATTTTCAACAGAAGCGAAGTGAATTTTTTAATTTTATTTCCTAAAAAATAATTATGTTATTTCATATAACATAATTAAAAAAAAATACTGTAAGATAAAATAAACTTTTATATTTTGGAGATCTTCAATTAAACTTGAACATTGCCATTTGCCAAGTTTAATTTAGTGGAAAGAGCATTTACTTCCTCCATGGCTATAATATATAGTCCATTAGAAACCTTATCTTTTTCATTCTTTTGTGTGGAAAAAAAGAATTAAATAAAATTTTCCAATTAATTGTATTTAAATTATCCACTTGAAAAAAAAAATTCTAGAAGAGACTATATATAAACTCATAAGTTAGCTTTAGACTTCAAACAATTCAATGAAATGACAATTCAAGTTTTTTCCTCCATTTTCTTCCTCTTGTGTTTACACACTCTCATAGTTAAAGCACATCTTCATGAATCGAATAACAACTTTTCGACCCCCTTCGATTTTCTTAACCGATTGAGTGGAGTCGCAAAAGGCGATAATGTGAAAGGAGTACGCGAACTGAAAAACTATTTGTCGTCTCTCGGGTATTTGAATCACGATAGCTACCCCAACGATAAAAATAAGGAACATGAAAATATCTTTGACGACTCGTTAGAAATTGCCCTAAAAAAATACCAAGAATTTTACGATCTTAATATTACCGGATTCTTGGATCCTATCACCATAACAAAAATGCGCCAACCTAGATGTGGCATGCCGGACTTCTTCATCCCGAATAAAACTACTCCCCCATTTCACACAAGGTCTTACTATACTTTTCTTCGGGATAGTCCCAAATGGTATAAGAAAAATCTCAGTTACAGTTTCGATTGGAACGTTCTAGAAGGAGCTAAACAACCGTTGGAGCACGCGCTCAAACAATGGGCATCGGCTACGCCTTTCAAGTTTCATTACGTTAAAATTTTCCGGAAAGCTGACATTAAGTTTAGCTTCATGAGTGGGGATCACGACGACGGATATCCGTTCGTGGGGTCTTCCACCGGCATGGCCCACAGCTTTCCGCCTCCAGACGGGAGGATCCACTTCGACGTGCATCGAAAATGGGCTTGGGTCCATAAGAAAAACGCATACGACATGCAAACCGTTGGGCTGCATGAGTTGGGCCATGCACTCGGGCTTGATCACAGCACGATTTTTAAGGCGGTCATGTATCCGATTATTTATCCGGGTGAAAGAAAAGGATTGCATAAAGATGACATTGATGGAATCAAGGCTTTGTACAAGAAAATATTTTGATTTTTTTTTCTTGTTTTTTTATGGAAAAAAATAAAACATTAAATAAAGTTTTCCAATTACATGTGTTTCATTTTATCCAATTTCACTTTGTTGTTAGATCAAGAGGGCATAAATCGCAGCTAGCTTACACCTGAACAAACAATCAAATCGAGTTTATTGAGTTGAATATACACCATTATTATCAAGTAAATTAAATCGCATTTCGAGCTTTTTTCGGCATTTTCTTTCTGTTTTGTTCACACTCTCACATAACCTAAGCACATTCAATTAACAACTTTTTAACGACCTTAGAGTTTCTTAAGAATTGGGTGGAATGAAAAAGGGAGATAATATGAAAGGAATATACGAACTAAAGATATATTTGTCGAATCTCGGGTACTTGGATTACAATGGATACCAAAGCCAAGCCAAGAACACGAAAATACTTTTGACGATTCTTTAGAAATTGCGCTAAGAAAATACCAAGAATTTTACGATCTTAATATTACAGGATTCTTAGATGCTAAAATTATAATAAAAATGCACCAACCTCGACGTGGGATGCCCGATTTCTCTAACCCTAATAAATCCCTCTTGATTGAGTGTATTGAAACTTATAAAGGCTGCTTGTAAAATTATTATTTGTTAAATAATACTTTTGAGAAAATAAAATATCGAATCTATATATTATATAAAAAGACAATCTATGCCCTCATTGAATGACATGTGTCAAATTCCTATGTCATTTGTTCAAATCGCTTAGTTGGCATTAAATTGATGATGTGTAATACTCAATTGCTTATTAGGCATTTTAATCTTGGTATGTTTTTAAGTTCTTTCCTATTTAACATTTGCACATTCATTTAACAATTACCTATATATATATATATATATATATA